CCACACACACTTTGTCCACACACACTTTGTCCACACACACTTTATCAACACACGCTTTATCAACACACACTTTGTCCACACACACTTTGTCCACACACACTTTATCAACACACACTTTGTCCACACAGACACACACACACACACACACACGCACGCACACACGCACACACACCCACACACACACACACGCACACACACGCAGGCGTGGCACAACCTGACATCCACCTTCGTTTCACGTGGCAGGCGTGGCACAAACTCACATCCACCGTCGTTTTGCGTGGCAGGCGTGGCACTTATGGTCCTGGGTGGCGCGCTTGGGCCGGGATTTGGCGCCTGTGACGCCGCGGCACTTTGCGTGGCAGGCGTGGCACAACCTGACATCCACCTTCGTTTCACGTGGCAGGCGTGGCACAAACTCACATCCACCATCGTTTTGCGTGGCAGGCGTGGCACTTATGGTACTGGGTGGCGCGCTTGGGCCGGGATTTGGCGCCTGTGACGCCGCGGCACTTTGCGTGGCAGGCGTGGCACAACGTGACATCCACCTTCGTTTCACGTGGCAGGCGTGGCACAAACTCACATCCACCGTCGTTTTGCGTGGCAGGCGTGGCACTTATGGTACTGGGTGGCGCGCTTGGGCCGGGATTTGGCGCCTGTGACGCCGCGGCACTTTGCGTGGCAGGCGTGGCACAACCTGACATCCACCTTCGTTTCACGTGGCAGGCGTGGCACAAAGTCACATCTACCGTCGTTTTGCGTGGCAGGCGTGGCACTTATGGTACTGGGTGGCGCCCTTGGGCCGGGATTTGGCGCCTGTGACGCCGCGGCACTTTGCGTGGCAGGCGTGGCACAACCTGACATCCACTTATGGTACTGGGTGGCGTTTGGGCCGGGATTTGGCGCCTGTGACAGCGGCACTTTGCGTGGCAGGCGTGGCACAACCTGACATCCACCTTCGTTTCACGTGGCAGGCGTGGCACAAACTCACATCCACCGTCGTTTTGCGTGGCAGGCGTGGCACTTATGGTACTGGGTGGCGCCCTTGGGCCGGGATTTGGCGCCTGTGACGCCGCGGCACTTTGCGTGGCAGGCGTGGCACAACCTGACATCCACCTTCGTTTCACGTGGCAGGCGTGGCACAAACTCACATCTACCGTCGTTTTGCGTGGCAGGCGTGGCACTTATGGTACTGGGTGGCGCGCTTGGGCCGGGATTTGGCGCCTGTGACGCCGCGGCACTTTGCGTGGCAGGCGTGGCACAACCTGACATCCACCTTCGTTTCACGTGGCAGGCGTGGCACAAAGTCACATCCACCGTCGTTTTGCGTGGCAGGCGTGGCACTTATGGTACTGGGTGGCGCGCTTGGTCCGGGATTGGGCGCCTGTGACGCCGCGCCTGCGTGGCACATGACATCCACCTTGGTTTCACGTGGCAGGCGTGGCACAAAGTCACATCCACCGTCGTTTTGCGTGGCAGGCGTGGGACAGATGGCACTGGGTGGCGCCCTTGGGCCGGCTTGGGCGCCTGTGACGCCGCGGCACTTTGCGTGGCAGGCGTGGCACAACCTGACATCTACCTTCGTTTCACGTGGCAGGCGTGGCACAAACTCACATCCACCATCGTTTTGCGTGGCAGGCGTGGCACTTATGGTACTGGGTGGCGCCCTTGGGCCGGGATTTGGCGCCTGTGACGCCGCGGCACTTTGCGTGGCAGGCGTGGCACAACCTGACGTCCACCTTCGTTTCACGTGGCAGGCGTGGCACAAACTCACATCCACCGTCGTTTTGCGTGGCAGGCGTGGCACTTATGGTACTACGTGGCGCGCTTGGGCCGGGATTTGGCGCCTGTGACGCCGCGGCACTTTGCGTGGCAGGCGTGGCACAACCTGACATCCACCTTCGTTTCACGTGGCAGGCGTGGCACAAACTCACATCTACCGTCGTTTTGCGTGGCAGGCGTGGCACTTATGGTACTGGGTGGTGCTTCGTCATTTGCATGCAAAGATGCGGTCCTTCCGGCATGTTTCTTCTTGCCACGTGCTTCGGCATGTTTGATTTTGGCATGTTTAAGTAGTTTCTTCTGTCGGCCTGCTGCATTCCACACACCCACAAGTGGAAAGGAACGACTGGGGCTGCATAATTTTGCTTTGGTGACCTTAGCCCAACGTGGAAAGAGGCAACCGAAGCAGACATTGCAGAGGATAGTCTTACCACCACTAGAACCACAATTACACAAGTCGTCAGTGTCGTCAGTGAAGTTTTGACGGACAACATCTCTAGCATACATACGAGTCAACCACAACGACAACTAGTCAGTCAAGTGAAATTGGTCATTTGCATACAAAGATGCGGTCCTTCCGGCATGTTTCTTCTTTCCGCGTACTTCGGCATGTTTGATTTTGGCATGTTTAAGCACTTTCTTCTGTCGGCCTGCTACGTGCTTCGGCATGTTTCAGCTCTTAAATTTGGTCATTTGCATGCAAAGATGCGGTCCTTCCGGCATGTTTCTTCTTTCCGCGTGCTTCTGCATGTTGGATTTTTGCATGTTGAAGCACTTTCTTCAGTCGGCGTGCTGCGTTCTTGGGCATGTTTGATTTTGGCATGTTTAATACTTTCTTCTGTCGGCCTGCTGCATTCAGCAACGCTGTGCAGAGCAGACACGACAGATTCTGTTTTAAGCACTTTCTTCAGTTGGCCTGCTGCGTGCTTGGGCATGTTTGATTTTGGCATGTTTAAGTACTTTCTTCTGTCGGCCTGCTGCATTCCACACACACACATACACATACACTTGCGGCCAGGTGCTGGTCTTGCTCGTGGTCGAGAGGCAGGGCTCAACTGCGCGTCAGCAATGCTGTGCAGAGCAGACACGACAGATTCTGTTTTAAGCACTTTCTTCAGTTGGCCTGCTGCGTGCTTGGGCATGTTTGATTTTGGCATGTTTAAGTACTTTCTTCTGTCGGCCTGCTGCATTCCACACACACACATACACATACACTTGCGGCCAGGTGCTGGTCTTGCTCGTGGTCGAGAGGCAGGGCTCAACTGCGCGTCAGCAACGCTGTGCAGAGCAGACACGACAGATTCTGTTTTAAGCACTTTCTTCAGTTGGCCTGCTGCGTGCTTGTGCATGTTTGATTTTGGCATGTTTAAGTACTTTCTTCTGTCGGCCTGCTGCATTCCACACACACACACACACTTGCGGCCAGGTGCTGGTCTTGCTCGTGGTCGAGAGGCAGGGCTCAACTGCGCTTCAGCAACGCTGTGCAGAGCAGACACGACAGATTCTGCTTCTTGCATGCAGACTTTTCTCCTGTCGTTGTTGTAGTTCTGTTTTGGTCGCTTTGGCCCAACTAGAAGTTGCAGACAACAGCTCTAGCACGCATACCACTACAACACAACTACAATTAGTCAGTTACGACGTAACCACCACGACAACTCAGCAGTCAAGTTAAATTTGTCATTTGCATTCAAAGGTGTGGTCATCGGATCATCTCTTGCTGCTCTGATCGTTTTGGCCTAACGTGGAAAGAAACGACCGGAGCTGCGTGATTCTGTTTTGGTGACCTTAGCCCAACGTGGAAAGAGGCCGCCGAAGCAGACATTGCAGAGGATAGTGTTACGACCATTACGACCACGATTCCAATTAGTGATTTGCATTTGTTTCGGAAGCCATGGCGGTGCAAAAACTTGCTAATGGTTGGCGCGCCCGCCGCAAAAAGGATGGCAAGACGTTCAACGGACCGCTGCGGGCGACTGAAGTGGCCGCAAACGAAGATGCGCGGCAAATGGAGGAAGCAGCAGCTGTGTCCAGTGAACGCTTACAAGAAGTTTTTGATATATTATCGGGCTCGCTTGCAGCCCCGGACGTGACCGCTGGACCGTCCGTGACCCAAACTGGTTCCAATTGGCGTGCTCGTGTGAAAACCAGCGGAGCAACTGTCAATGGTCCGACACGGCAGGCCAAAGCAGCTGCCGAAGAGGATGCGCGCTTGCTGCAGCAAGCGCAGCAAATATCGAGCGCGGAGGTGCACAAAGTGGCCGAGCGTTTGCAGAAGGAGGCCGCAGATGTTCGTGGTGTGGCGACTGTTGCGAAACATGTTGTCGCCAAGCACGCTCTTCAGTCTCTGCCTCCTGAGAAGCTCAACGACGCATTGGCCATTACGTTCTGCACCGATCTGCCTGTCGAAGATGATGTTGATCATGGCCGTGAAGCAGTCCGGAAGATCGTGCAGCTCCGTTTGCGGAAAGATCGTTTTCTCCAGCAAGCTCAAGTTCTACAGGACACAAATGTGGTGTATGCTGGAGGAGTGACGCAGATCGACAGCGAACGCTTGACTGCATGGCTTGGTGGCGAAGATGATGTTGTTCCGCCGGTTGTTCACAAGGCGAAGAATCCACTGACAAGAGATCGATTTTGCAAAAAAAATGCTGTCAGATTCGGTGACCCAGCCGCAAATCGCTTGCGATCGCTGACAGCAAGTTGCACCAGAGTTCTCGATCCAGTGCAGTTGACGCGTGATCTGGCAGACTTTTTGCGACAGCTCATGGTAAGTGACAAGAATGACGATGTCATGGGGTATTATGGTTTGTATTATCGCTCATTTGGCAATTTAGAAGATTTTTGCGCGCCTGTTGCACAGAAAGTTGCTGCATTCTTGCCGCATACTCGTTTGTTAGGCTCCCCCACGGAGCCACCTGTTGCTCCGGTCGCTGGAGTGTGATCGTCAAGCAAGTCTCCAGCTTGATTGGCTCGCAACCTGCTGTTGAGTCAATGTGGAAAGACACGAATTGCAACCGCTGGTTCTTGGCCGTCATTGACCTAATGTGGGAGGATGATAGCCTTGGCAGAGACATAGCCTAGGAGTCATTGTGAAAAAAATGAAGCAACCGCGCGGCAACTTTCGTATCTGGAAATGCAATGCTGGTTAGGAATAATGGAAGAACTATTTCTGTCCTGTTCTCGCTTGTGTTCATTTCTTTGCTGCCAGGCACTGCACGTCAATGACGGCCTCGCGTGAGGCCGGGAGCTCAACAGCAAAAGTTCGGTCTGCGCAGGCCGGTGTATCTTTCTGTTCCGCAGCTGTCTTGTTCGATTTGATCCTACATCTCAATGCCATGGAGCCGTTCGACAACGAAACGCGACGGTGGTGTGTCCAGATGCAGGCCCGCATCGGTCGCGGCTGGACACAAGATGAGACATCGGAAAGGAATGCGATGGGCATTGGCGACAATGGTGAAAACATTGCCTGTGTGTACGGCACCGGTGAAGGCTCCACAGAAGTAGTCTACGTCGGCAGCTCGGCAGCTTTGCGCTGCCCTACACTAGAAGATCACATTCACATAATGGTAAGCTTTGGCCCACCTCACCTCCGTAACCTTGTTGACCGTCCTCAGGAAGGCTGGGACCAATTTCTGCGTGGTTTGTGCATCGACCACTTTGCAATTCAACTCGCTGATCCGAAAACAACAGCACCAGGAGAAGGTCCCTTGTGCCAAAAGATGGCGAATGCATATTTCTTTGCATGGCGGAGCATGTGCGTCCTTATCTGCTGGTCTCGGAGAAATCACAAAGAACACATTCCTGCTGGACTGCTTTTCCATTGCTTGTCCGGAAACAATCGCAGCAGCGCTGCTTTGGTGGCCTGGCTAATATTTCGGCATCATATGACTGCCTCTGAAGGAATTCGATTGTTATTGCAAGCGCGACCTACGTTGAATCCTTGGCAGGAACGACCTCACATCTTATGGGCTTTGAAAACTTGGGAAATGAAAATGGAGGAAACATATCAATTCGTTCACTCCGTGGTTGCAGAAGAAATCCCACGATTGACTCCAGAGCTGATTCGGTCTGCTCTTGGTGGTGGCTTGAAAGTGCCTCTACCCATCCAAGTGTCAACGCGGGTGAATTATCTGGAGCGATTCACATATTCGGATGGCACCCCGGCTCCGGCTGAACCACGCGCCAAGACAGTGCCGCGGCAAGCTTGGGAAATGGCTGGTCAGGGTTATCGGCAGAAGAGAACGAAAAATACCTTTGTGGAACCAGTGCAGTTTCAAGCTTGTTGGTGGATTATGGCCTGGTCTTGGGAAGCCTTTCAAAGCTTTTACATGGATGACGCGCAAGTTCCACCGTCGACGAATCATGAGTCCAAACATGGACCTACCTATGCAAATTTCTGCAAAACCCATGCTGTTCGATTTGCCAATTGGGATCATCGATGGTTGGCGACTCTTACAGGTGATTGCAGTGCAGTAATGGACGTGGTCGCGTTAAATTGCATTTTAGCGGCGTACTTTCAGAAATGCATTCCTGGTCCTGGAGAAAAAAGTTTTCTGGGCTTTAAAGGTTTGCACGCCGCTCCGTTTGTTGACACAGAGTATATAGAATCTTTTTGTGCTCCCATCACGCAGAAAATTGCAATCTTCTTACCTGACGCTCGCAGAGGCATTGAATGATGCCGTTTTCAAAATCATCCAAGACAAAGGTTAAAACAATGTGTGGTGACTTTTGTCTTTCTTTTACGTGATGGCGGTCAGACCAGAGTCGCGCGTGTCAAAAGGAATCCTTTGTCCAGGCTGCGTTGAAAGAATTATGTTTCCACATTGTTTCCATGAGTTTTGCTGCTCGGCTTGGTTGGCTTTCAAACACGCACGCAGTCTGGCTCGCTTCTGCCCTGTGACATACTGCCGATCCGAGGCTTTGGTGCAACGTGCGAAGAAGCTATTGGATCGATCAATTGTAGACATGGATCCGTATGATACGGAAATGCAGCAATGGTGCACCGATGCAGCCGCCAAGCTTCGTCGCAGTGCCGCAATGCCGGAAAGTGAGTGGCCAGAAGTTGATCGACTGGTGAATGGTTTCGAGTATCATTTTGGTGACATTTCAGAATGGCCCAACGACATGGTTCGTGTGCACCCGGTCGACCGCACGGAGACTGCAACTTGTTTTCTCGGCAGCCTGGCAGCTCTGCGATGTCTGAGGGACACGAAAGAAGTGCATGTTGTCATCAGTTTGTGCACATCTGAGATGCAAAGAATTCGTGGACAACCCGAAGAAGGCTGGGCTGCATTCTTGCTTGGAATGTCTGTGGAACACGTCACGATAGATTTGGACGATCCCAGAACAAAGTGGCCCGGAGAAGATTCTTTTTGCGAAGAGATGGGTAACTGCTATGTCGCCGCATGGCAAAGTATGTGTGTGCAAATCAGTCGTTCTCTTTCAGAGCGAGGAGACAAGCTCTCGACTGGCTTGCTGTTTCATTGTTTTGGTGGCATCAATCGGAGCAGCGCTGCTTTGGCTGCGTGGCTGATTTTCAAGCACGCAATGAACGCAGACGACGCCATTGATGTGCTCTTGAAGGCACGTCCTACTCTCAATCCTTGGGTGAAAAGGCCACACATTTTGTGGGCGCTCAAAACCTGGGAGAAGAGGCGGTTGTCTGTGTGTGAGGTTGTGGAGCGAGCTCTGTCAGAAATGACGCCAACGCCGAAGAGATCAAAATGTTCAATGTCCATGTGACCAAGGTGGATGACCGCTATCCAACAGTATCCGCAGTGATCCGGAAACAAGTTGGTTTGGCGCAACGTGCAAGGAACCACTGCTGGCCCATTGTCCCGATGAGCTTCGAATTTGACCCACTGTGGGAAGAATTCACATGAAACAATTGACAGTGGAATGCAGATAGAAAACAAAATATAACCCTAGTGATACCGCATGTCTGTGCATGCAGTTTATGCAAAGAGAACTTGCCTTCTTGGTACTGCGTTCATCCGGTGGGTAAGAAATGCAATGCCGTGTGTATGGTATAATTTAAGTGCTATGCTATGCTCGTCATATGCGTGTGTATGAGGTGCATTGACAACCAGATCCTTTCTCTCGATGTTATCACATTCCGACGCGTGGCTGTAGAAGAGGCATGGCTGTCATCGCATTGCTTGGACAATTTCGGCGCAGCGCACCATGTGACATGTTCCTTCATTCTTGCAAAATCGTGCGCAGAGATGCTCCTTTCGAAGGTGCTTTTGGCTCGGTACCGACGGCTCGACACTTGTGGTTATCACTTGGTAGCTCATACAACACTATACAAACAGGGTTCTAGATCAATATCGAATCATCGATTGCCGTTCTGGTGGCTTTGGCCCAACGTGGAAAGAAGCCACCACATCCACCAGAGCATAAAGACCACCAAATGTTTTCAATAATGCATTTATGAGTTCACAGTTGTACATCAAAGCAAGCTGCATAGAATATTGGGACCGCATGGGTACGGCCAGAAGCACGAACATGGCAGTGACGTGCTTGAAGCCGTCCGAGTACCGCGGCGACCAGAACACTGCCGTGGCTGGGCGCATCAAGCAGATGATACCGCAGGCATTGAGAGACAGAAGAAGCCACTGTGGAGTGGCACATGTCTCGCTCGCCGACTGGGTATGTTCGCTTGCAGACGATTTTGCGAGCGCACATAGCCGGCGGATGACATGAGAGATATGGATGAAGATTGTTTCATCCAAAGGAGATGGCAGGGTAGGAAAAGTACGTATGTGCGGTACTTTTGATACCCTTCCATCTCCTTTGCATAAAACTTTGTTTTCGCGGAATGTGCGAAAAACTATGCCGGCGCAGACAGAAAAAGCCACTGTGGAGTGGCACATGTCTCGCTCGCCGACTGGGTATGTTCGCTTGCAGAAGATTTTGCGAGCGCACATACGCCGTCGGATGACATGAAAGATATGGATGAAGATTGTTTCATCCAAAGGAGATGGCAGGGTAGGAAACGTACGTATGTGCGGTACTTTTGATACCCTTCCATCTCCTTTGCATAAAACTTTGTTTTCGTGGAATGTGCAAAAAACTATGCCGGCACAGTGAGAAATATAAGTAGGCTCGATTGCGTTCTAGCGAACCATAGCTGATGGCGAGCAGCGCCGCTGCCCGGGGAGGAGCCGGAAGTGTAAGGAACAATGGTCCTCATCCTCCGCCCCCTGGGCGGCCGCCACTACCTTCGCAGTCGCCGTCAATGAGGCCGACGCGGACACCTGCTGCGGACTGGTTGCGTCCTCGGTTCAATGCCTTTGATCCACAGGAACCTGCTTGTTGGAGTTGTGGCTGCTTTCTGGGAAAAGTTCTTCGATGGATGCTTCTACCGACGGCGATAGAATGCTGCCATGAATGTTTCTTCTATCGAGTCTTTCGTCGGAGGCTCCATCGAAGAAACATGCATGGAGGCATTCTATCGCCATTCCCAGGAAATGGCAGGGTAGCAAAAGTATGTGCGATGCGATACGTTTGACACCTTGCCAGTTGTTTTGGAAGAACGCATTCGTTTGGCGCAATTTGCAAGAAACAAGATCAGTCGGTATGGCGCAGTGAAGTTTTTGTCGGTGCCGTTTCAACTGGGTGTGATGGATGCAACGTGCATAGATCGTACTTGAAGCCACGGTTTGATTGACGCAACATGCACAGATCATACACTGTCAGAGCATGATGAGGCACTGTGGCGAGCCGCTTTGCTTGCCGATATCGCTGGAGTCAAAAAGATGCTTTCCACCTTTGGAAATGAAAGTCGTTGATGACGCAGGCAACTCGATGCAATTGTCACCGAACGTGCGCAGATGATACCGCAGGCATTGAGAGACAGAAGAAGCCACTGTGGAGTGGCACATGTCTCGCTCGCCGACTGGGTATGTTCGCTTGCAGAAGATTTTGCGAGCGCACATACGCCGTCGGATGACATGAAAGATATGGATGAAGATTGTTTCATCCAAAGGAGATGGCAGGGTAGGAAAACCAGCAGCACGTGTTGCTTTGACAACCAGCGACCTATACGCGTTCTGTCCTTTTGCGGCCAGGTCCTTTTCTGCTTCGGCGAGAGAAGCGTGTGTGGCACGACATTGTTATTGTCGCTTTGACCACCAGCTTCAGAACATCGGTATCCTTTTGCAGCCAGGTACTTTTCTGTTCCGGTATCGTCATCGGGCCTGTGACCGTAGGGCAGGCGCGGTTTTCTTGGTGCGTGCTTTGACATTGCTTTGGCGCAATGGTTTGCAAAGAATCATGCTCAGTGACATTGCAGTAATGTGACCGTCAGTTCTTTTGGTTCTTTAAATTTGTCACTTTGCATCGCATCATGCCCATTCCACAGAGTGACACGCGTTGCTCTGCCGGCGTCGCTAGCAGCCGACATCCGATAAAGGCCCCAGTGTGTTCTTTGCCAGACCTTTTCGATACCTTTGTTCCGTTGCTGTCACCCAATGTGAGTCCCGGATTAAACTGTTTGTCTGCCAGGTGCTGTCTCGGGACCTCGCATCGACTTTGTCAACGTTGGCGGGAGAGCTCAGCCGATCTGATGGCGAAGATTCGCTGGAAGAGCAAACTGCAGTGCTTCTCCAGCTACCATGCAAACTGGAAGATGTGTGCGCGCAGCTCTGCGAGAAGCTGCAGAAAGTTCCATTGCCGGCTCTCGGCCACGTCGCTGCGCCGGTCGGCTCTTTGTCCCCTGTGCTTTGCTCCACACCTCCCGCAGATGCTCTCGACGACCACGTTCGCTGCACAGTGATGGCACTCTCTGGCAACGTCGTGGCAGAAGTTTTTCCCGAGAGCGCCTGCGAAGGGTTCTTCGTAAAAAAGCAGCCGTTATACTAGATCTTCACTCCTTCACATCTGCTGATCTAGATCTTCACTCCTTCACATCTGCTGATCTAGATCTTCACTCCTTCACATCTGCGGATCTAGATCTTCACTCCTTCACATCTGCTGATCTAGATCTTCACTCCTTCACATCTGCGGATCCAGATCTTCACTCCTTCACATCTGCTGATCTAGATCTTCATACCCTCACACCTGCAGATCTAGATCTTCACTCCTTCACATCTGCTGATCTAGATCTTCACTCCTTCACATCTGCTGATCTAGATCTTCACTCCTTCACATCTGCAGATCTAGATCTTCACACCCTCACACCTGCAGATCTAGATCTTCACACCCTCACACCTGCAGATCTAGATCTTCACACCCTCACATCTGCAGATCTAGATCTTCACACCCTCACACCTGCAGATCTAGATCTTCACACCCTCACATCTGCAGATCTACATCTTCACACCCTCACATCTGCCGATCTAGATCTTCACACCCTCACATCTGCCGATCTAGATCTTCACACCTTCACATCTGCAGATCTAGATCTTCACACCCTCACATCTGCAGATCTAGATCTTCATACCCTCACACCTGCAGATCTAGATCTTCACACCCTCACACCTGCAGATCTAGATCTTCACACCCTCACACCTGCAGATCTAGATCTTCACACCCTCACATCTGCAGATCTACATCTTCACACCCTCACATCTGCAGATCTCCTCTCGCTCTTCTTCTATTCTCTCTTTAGGCGGGGGCGGTGCCGCCGGAGCGCCACGAAACGCAACCCTTTCGCACGAAATGGACGTTGGACGCCAAAAACTGAGGTAAAATTGCGATTTTACTTTGTCCATTGCAACCCTTTCGCACGAAATGGACGTTGGATGCAAAAACTGAGGAAAAATTGCGACTTTGAAGCGTCCCGCGCAACCCTTTCGCACGAAATGGACGTTGGACGTCAAAAACTGAGGAAAAATTGCAACTTTGAGGTGTCGCGCGCAACCCTTTCGCACGAAATGGACGTTGGACGTCAAAAACTGACGAAAAATTGCAACTTTGAGGTGTCGCGCGCAACCTTTTCGCACGAAATGGACGTTGGACGTCAAAAACTGAGGAAAAATTGCGACTTTGAGTTGTCAATCGCAACCCTTACGCACGAAATGGACGTTGGACGTCAAAAACTGGGGAAAAATTGCGACTTTACTTTGTCAATCGCAACCCTTTCGTACGAAATGGACGTTGGACGTCAAAAACTGAGGAAAAATTGCGATGGACGCTTTCGTTTCTGTACAAGTGTCTGTGTGTAAAAGCGTCTGTGTGTAAAAGCGTCTGTGTGTAAAAGCGTCTGTGTGTAAAAGCGTCTGTGTGTAAAAGCGTCTGTGTGTAAAAGCGCCTGTGTGTAAAAGTCTCTGTGTGCAAAAGCATCTGTGTGTAAAAGCGTCTGTGTGTAAAAGAGTCTGTATGTAAAAGGGTCTGTGTGTAAAGCGTCTGTGTGTAAAAGGGTCTGTGTGTAAAGCGTCTGTGTGTAAAAGTGTTTGTGTGTAAAAGCTTCTGCGTGTAAAAGCTTCTGAGTGTAAAAGCCTCTGTGTGTAAAAGCGTCTGTGTGTAAAAGCGCCTGTGTGTAAAAGCTTCTGAGTGTAAAAGCCTCTGTGTGTAAAGGCGTCTGTGTGCAAAAGCGTCTGTGTGTAAAAGCGTCTGTGTGTAAAAGCGTCTGTGTGTAAAGGAGTCTGTGTGTAAAAGCGTCTGTGTGTAAAAGGGTCTGTGTGTAAAAGCGTCTGTGTGTAAAATCGTCTGTGTGTAAAAGCGTCTGTGTGTAAAAGCGTCTGTGTGTAAAAGCGCCTGTGTGTAAAAGCTTCTGTGTGTAAAAGCCTCTGTGTGTAAAAGCTTCTGTGTATAAAAGCCTCTGTGTGTAAAAGCCTCTGTGTGTAAAAGCCTCTGTGTGTGAAAATGTTGTGTGTAAAAGCGTCTGTGTGTAAAAGCGTCTGTGTGTAAAAGCGTCTGTGTGTAAAAGCGTCTGTGT